TTTCCACTCACAATAGTGTAGTCGCAATACTACTTGCACAAAAGTGAAATTCAAAAAGAGGAGAAAAGGAAAAACCACATGATTGATTTTTAATGTACGGTACATGCAAAGATACTAAAGTAAAGTGACTGTTGTTTATCTCATTTGCCTTTCATGGCTCGAATACGTCACAAGATAATCAGTAGATAATAAATCATTATCTTTATGAATGTTAGTTTACACAAAATAAATATGTAGCTGGCATGATTATTATTACCAAGATAAACACGTTTTATGATGAGTATTTCTGTGGCAGATTGCCTAGCCGGCCCACCTCCCTAAATTTTTCAAAATTTAAAAGTGGAGAAAAAAGGAAATTATATTCAAATTTAAGACTGAGAGTGCTATTTCCGGCCAACTAGAGGTACCATAATCATAAATTTTCATGGTGGGGCTGAGGTGGTCTACACGCCTCTGTAAAATTTTCTCTCTGGGCCACCTCTAGTTGTCTAATAATGAACGAAAACACTCCGAACTCATAGTTTTTAGTGGCGGATCCCAGGAATTTGAATTAGAGGCCCAGAGGGACAGTGAAGGGAATATACCTCAGTCCCACCATGCTTCGGCTAAGGTAAGAAAATGTATGATTCTGGCAAGCATTGTGAGCGCAGCGAGCAACTAGGTTTGATCAGCCTGAAAGCATTTTTTTAATTTTCCAAAAAAGAGGGGCGGCGCCCCCTCCCCCTCCTAATCTGCCCGTGATGTGTAAACAAGAAAATACATATGGTGTGAGATTTCACTTTTCCCTGGTACTACCAAAAAAATGGTAATTATTTCATAAACATGAACCTCCCATGAAGGCCTTTTTTTAAAATAGGTCTGAAAAGCAAGCATGTTGTTTTAGTACTACTGCAAGCATGTTCGTGGACGTGAGAAAGCGTAGCCTATATATCTTATTATCGCTTATATATTATTTTCTTTAATATAGTGTTGCTTAAGCCTATAATATTAGTTTGACGCAGCTAACAGTGTACCATCTAATTTTGGTCCGACTTCTTCATTGTATTTGTTGTCAAAAGATATTACAAGTTGGTCACTTACCGAAAAAAAAAAAAAATCAACAGTTAACGGAAGGTGGTGGCTTACGAGAAGTATCAAAAGCACTGATTTGATAGGGAGAACAAACGGGACCATGATAATAATGAGAGTGGACGTCAATGGAGGACGTGATCGCTTACAAGCAGTGGTCGCACAGGGAGGTTAAACTGCATTATACCAAGGAAAAGTGAATTTACACTCTTTCCTTTACCAACTAATACTGTAACAAATTACAGGGTTCTATTTGCTACTACGATACAGGCAACCAAAAAGTTACCATAAAATTCTTTTTATTTCAACTTTAACTATTAATGTACGAAAAACATTCGGTATTCATAGATGACACGGCGTGTGCGCCAGGTCTGAGGCAAGTGTCAGTTAACCCTGTAAATCAAAATAAAAAAGAGGGTGGCTTATATTTCATATATTTTTCACATTATCGATCATTAATTATTATAATCGGGATATTTTAATTTTTTATTCATTTTAGGGGGATTACGACCCCCTCTGACTGCGCCCTGGTGGTTACGGGCCTGAAAATTCTAGTGATTTGATGTACTGAAAGACGAAAATGAATGATTCTATAAACCAGTTCTCTTAAAATACCGAATGGTACGAGAGTAGGGGAACAGCTAGTGAATTCGTCTTTTCTGCCAGGAAATTCCGCACGTTTGGCGTCAATATGTGTGACATGCCTCGTAAAACTTTACAGTAGGCCCTACTAGGGCATGTCACAACACATGTTTGATTTTCTTCACATGCGTGTATCTAGTGGGAGATAAATGCAATTGGAAGTGTTGTGCATGCATAACCAGGAATAACCTTCCAGACGAGAGCAAAAAGAACTCTTCATATTCAGTGCTTATTATAGTTTGAGTATTGCAGGGGTTCCGCGAGGGCTTTACAGTATAACCAATCTTCAATATTACAGGCCTAACAATAGGTTAAAATGAAAATATTTAAACTTTTTTTTCAAATCACAGAAAATCACAAATGTTATATTCAGTGCATTCCCGACTGTCATGAAAATGTGAAAATTCTTAAACTTGGTGGAGTACGGACGCACCCATCGCACCACCCCGCCCACTAGATAGACAGGCCTGAAAACTTTAAGTTTTACTTGCCAGTATTATATTAGGTATCTTCTAAGACCACATACTTTTTAAAAATATTTATCTCTCACCCTGACCTTCGCCATGGCGAAGGTGCAAACGTCTGGGTCCGCGCCTGAGAATGCATGACTATAGAGAAATAACATCATTTATTCGCTGAAATTTGTTATATTAACTAGGCCTACTTTAAATACAGAATGAGTTATAAATAGCAGTACAGTAGATTAGATTGATATTATTATTTTTTTGTAAAGTTGTGAAATAAGATTCTCTAAAAATTTAGTCTCATTTGAGAAAGCAAAACCAAATCTATATATACATCATAACCCACCGTTATATAATGAGCGTAATTTCGTAACTAACTCGGTGTTGCGTAAGAAAAACTTGTAACAGAAGCCGGGCACTCACTGCATACGACGGTCGTACGACCGTCGCACGACGAACCCAACTCCGCTCCCTGTGAGCGCTAGACCACGCAACGCCGTCTGCTGATTATCAGTGGTCGTCTGAACGGATCGTCATTAAAAACGATCAGTTGCGCGCGCGTCGTCGCGTTGCGTTTTTTTTTTTTTTTTTTTTATAGAATTGCGTTGGCCGACCACCGTCGGGCGTAATGAGTGCCCGGCTTAAGGGCTCACTCACCGTCTCGTTCGGCGACTCCAACAGGACAGTGCAAGTAATGATCTCTATATGGACTGAAATATGGTGCGAGTCGTACATCAATCTCGAACGAATGAATAATGAAATTTTTACCATCTGGGTAAGTTTCCCGAAACAACTCTACTGTTGACGCCATATTACCACCGCAGTCAAGTAGTATTTTTCTCGGTCCTGATGTATTTAATTCATTGAGCTTATTGTCGACATTTTTAGTTCCATAATTTAGTACACTCGATAAATCGTCATGCATTCTGTAAAGGAATCATAAAAAAAAATATGAAAATATTGAAATTAATTTCGTTAACAGCGAACGTGTCGTGGAAAGGCTTCTAAAATATTACTTGGACTTATGTACACGACACAAAGATGAGTAAGCATGACCTTTAGTCATCTGCCTGAAGATTGGCTAAGAGGCAAATATAGTGTAGTTGTTGTCTTTATAACACAACGTGAAACACTACCGATCATTTTGTTTACTTTGTATTTTAGTGAAGTGCTTGAGACACTGATCTATTTAATGATTCACAGCATGGATTTGTCCGAGGACGATCTACAGTGATTCTCACTGTGTTTAACAAATTCAGTGGGGTTGACAAGGCTGGGTCGGTGGTTGACCTTGTTGACTTTTATTTCTCTAATAGGTTCCCGAGGGCCCTGGTTCTAGAGTAAAACCGTCAAAACATTACATGACTCTTTTATTGAAGTAATCTATAATAAAAATCTACCTGAAACCCATCCCGGTATTTCTGAGTCTGGTTTCGGTTTTAGGCCCCGAAAATAAATAATTATTTTAACACAACTATTTATTGAAGTGAATTATAGTACAGTGTATAACTTTTTTTTTTTTTTTTTTTATTAAAGACAAGTAATCCATATACCATCTTGGAGTCTATGTTTCGTTTCGAAATATTAATTTCTAATGTATTATTATACAGATAACAGATACAAAAATACTTAATTATCATGAAAATATGTAGTACAATATAGACTGTAGGCCTGAACATGGAACTTTTACTAAATGACAGTGTTATAGTAGGACTACAGTTCCCAAGAACACTCTTCCAGTCTAGGGGGGCCTTCATTAGGCGTTTGAGCCCACGTTAGCGTTACTTTTAGGATTTTCCAGTTTGGATTGTGATTGTGAATCCAGTGTTTTTTTTTAACCACTGAGGTAATTAATCTGGTATGTCTGGTAACTCCCAGGATATCTGTGCTAGTGACAGGTTACCATATTCGCCAACAACTGAATGAAGTTCACGCGCGCACGACTCCATGGAAAAATGATTAATGGGTTTATATACACAAGAGAGTACTTACGGACACTTAGTTTTTGTGGTTATACACTTTGATTTTGACAGTTTGGTAAATGATGAAATCCCCAGTTTTTGAGGATTCAAGAAGTAACGCTAAGGTGGGATCCAACGCTTAATGTTAATAATGAATATTTATGGAAGTAAAAGAGCCGGTACATAAAATATCATTTAAAAACAAGTCAAAAAAGTGTCTATAGTGGTGAATTATGGTTTAGGTTATTTTTAATAAAGTTTCAAAACTTTCTATGTATGTGGAAAATGTAGTTGATTACCAAAGGTTAACAATTTTTATTTTGAAGACTGCATGGTCTAGGAAGTGTACATTTTTTTATGGGGCAAGTTTCCAAGGGCGGGTTTTCTAGGGGCGAGTTGACTGCCAAAGAGTGTTGCCAAAGTGCGAGCCAGCGTGTTATTTGATTACAAGTGCGAAACATCACAAGTGCGAGCCAGCGAGCCATGACGTCACGACAATAGACGTTACTCGAGTTGTGCGAGGTATCGGCTGATATTTGTGGAGTAAAATTCAAAAAACAACTATAGGTCTAATAATGAATTATTGTGATGTTAAATAGACAATGTTAGCTATAGCGACGTTGTTTTTCATTGGGACCTTCGTCCCTTCAAGGCTAGGCCTATACCATCCTAGCTAGTCTAGGCCTAGAGTAGGATAAGGCTAGCGCGACATGCGGACGTTTAGGATAAGGCTAGCGCAACATGCGGATGTTGGTACGTGTAGGTTAGTCTACAAACGTCGCCTAAAGTAATTGATTTTACCCGGCAGAACGAAAGAAGGAAACTCCGCTTTTCAGTCGTCTTAGGCCCTTGTTTTTTGACAAACAATGAACTTTCAGAGGTGAAATTGCTGTCAAGTATATGAATTGGCTGTTTCGCAGCAATAAAGGAACTTCAATAGGCCTAGGCCTAATTTAACGTTTGGGTTCCTTCTTAACATTCCCTCACTTCCTCACCGACCAACGACCATGAGGAGATCTTTTTGCTTTAGTTATCGGAGAATTGCTACATCAATTTTTTGGCTACTGTCCCCATCGGAGGGCTGTAAACACTTGTCATGATGTAGCAATTAAAGATGGCGGAAAAGGGTAAATACGGTGGAGGAATGATTGGTACTACTACCACGATGTAGTGGCGCTCTATTGAAAATCGATTAGCTCTCGAACAAAATTGCGTTCGAAACTCGGACATGCGTTATGAGACCCAGCACGCGTTCGCCACGAACGCATTTTACCGTCATTTGAAGGATCGCCCTTAACGCGGTAACTCCAAGAGTTACTCTTTTTTAAGTGTTTTTAGTGTAATATGATAGTAGTAGGCCTATACAGAATATTATTATGAAAGAAAATGTTCATGAAAAATCCAGATACACTATAATACACACATCTGCACATTGAAGAACATAAGATTAAATTCAAAGACAAAAACTCCTGTATAAGGCAGTAGACACACGCTCCCGCCGGGAGCCTATTTTAAAATAATGTATAAGACAGTGTATACCAAATGATAAAAAAGTAAATTTTTCAAAATTTCTCATCAATACCATGACAGATTAAATGAGATTGTTATTCCTTCGTGAATAAAGTGCATGAAACACAAAGACATTTATATAAACACAATATGAAAAACAATGACTCATATTTATCGAGTTGATGGGTATTGTGTGCTTTGAATACTCAGGCGGTCGAATATTCTATGCATTATTTAATAAACTTGACTGAAATTGATAGATTAATTGATTGATGTATTGTCTTTCTAGTCGTGGACAAGGTCAGTCAATCTTTCTTTCTCCGGAAAATACTTGCACCAGCCCAATGCCAGACTATACCTGGTAAACAATCTGTTACCTGGAGTGTGGTTCATTGGTTCGGCCGATCCCCTATCGAGCAAGCCTCCTCTTAAAAATCAATCCCCAACTTGTATTAATTCAGTGGTGGCTACAGAAATTTGCCGACAGGGGGGTCTGAATCAAGGGGCCGACTAGCTCGAGCCTCGGTCAGGGCCCTGCATGCCATAAAACCATATTACATACTAGATGTGTATAAGAGACAGGGGTAGGATACGATGCTTAATCCTGCATTTTATTTAATTTCTAATTTTAACTGAAATAGCCATGCCTTCAAGTGTGTTTTCCCTCAGCAATTTTGTTTACCATTATTTTGTCTATAATTTGTATATAAATATGGCTCCTCCATGACCCAATCATCATTTTTTATTGCCCTGTCAGAGATACCAGGACCCCCGCCACCGAGGGAAAGGGGGTGGGTTTTGCGGACAAGGGGTCGATATCTCTGATGGAAAGGCTAATCCTCTTGGCGGAAACCTAGATCGGCGGGGCTAGTGGCAGTCAAAAAACCCAGTGGCAGATCCGCGTATTTGAAAGAGGAGATCAGAGTGGGAACTTCACAGATCGTGAGTCTAGACCACCCCAGCCCCACCATGATTGATGGAGCTGGATGATTGCGCTACCTCTATATGGCCGGAAATGGCACTCTCAGACTTATAATGTGGAATTTTTTGAACGTTGAATAAATTTTGTTGGGTGGGGGAGTGGTGGTGGTAGACTGGTCACTTTGAATCCGCCACTGAACCCCTTATGGGTAGGGCGAAACTGCTGAAACTCCCACTACTTAGTAGGCAGCCCACTGGCCAAATCTGGCCCGCGAAGTAATTTAAATAATGAAAAAAAAATAAAGCATATTAATAAGAGGTTTGATAAATACATTTTCAATAAAATAAAGACAAACAATGCAACCCCTGGATAATGTGCACGGGGTGGTTTGAAAATGAGCAAGATTATATACGGTAGGCCATATATAATAAATCGATCCCTGTGTGTTTTTAAAACAAGCCAAAAGCGCGTATAGTCCAGTCCGAAATATAGCAATATCAGAGGTTGCATTTTTTTTTGCTATATTTTTTAAAAATTGGATATGATGTAGAGTAGACATTGATAAATCAAAAAAGTATGTGCAACATTTTTTTTTTCATACGTAAGGGGGGTTGCCAGCAGTTTCAAAATGGCCGCCATTTTTTCCTAAAATTGTCACTAATATTGTAAGTTTATGTTATTAAAATGCAGCATTCAATTGGAAATTCACTCATAACAATGACAACAACAGATAACTAAATATTGTACACATTTTTGAGCTATTAAAATTTAAAATTGCTGCCATTTTCCATTGTATTAGCTTTTTAGCATACATATTAATATAATAATAACCGATCTGTACTGTAAAACAAAAATGTGTGATAGAGCTAGTTATATGCAATTGCCATATGCTGTTAATGGTTATTACCATAATATATATGTGATAT